AAAGGTCTACTTATAGCATTGTTGGAAAATTCAACTGCCAGTCCCCTTATCACCTTAGACGAAACAGGGTGAACATATCTCATATAAAAAAATAAGTCAAAATAAAGTGTTATTTCGACCTCGTTTTCATAACTCAGTCGGAGGAATAAGGAGAGCTTCTGTAATATACTATCTTGATATTCTCATTTACGAAACTAAAATAAAGTTGAATAATGAAACGAATTTGATAAAGGAGATCAAAAATGCATACACATGAAAATAATGCACATAGATAAAAAAAGGATGGCAGATAATCTGGTAATTATGAATTTAAAAAAGAGTGAAAAAGTAGATGATAATGAGATATAAAACAGAAAAGTAATTTACAAGGCATATGGAGTTAAAAATAGGCTTCACTTACATCTTACTCTTACTAACGGTTGGTGCTATTCGTGGCAGCTTGGTTCGACATAATCAAGTGCATAATCAAATTCAATTTATATCAAGATAAGTCTTCAAAGACCTTTCATTTATAAAAATCCATGAATCTTGTGAGTTGACTGAGACTTCATAGAGCAAAGACGCTGTCAGCAGATTAATGTATATCAAGGCTTGCCTTAAGTTAGTCATTAGCAAATGTCTTCATTCAACTCCTTTAATCTGCACTAGCTTAGACCATTTTTTTAATAACTTACAAAGCCAGCTAGCAACACATGACTTGCCCACCTGATGAAGTAGATGGTATCAGGATGGTCAGGTCCAAGAAGGCGGAGGCGAATAAGCAAGGGTTGAAGGCGCAATTCGTCAGTGTTCTCCATCAATGCGGTCAATTCCTCAGGACTAGTAAATTCGCGAACGCGGCCAAACGCCTCTTCGCTGTATTTTCTCAAGCGGGCTATCAAAGGGTGGCGCAAAGAAGCCAGTCTGACAGGCCGGAGGCCAGGCCTTGATTCTCCTCCCGAGGGCAGAAACTCAGGACGGAGGAAAGTGGTATCTGAAGGGGCGGAAGCAATTGTTGTGCCGACAGTTACGGGTTGAGGAACGTGATGTTGGCGACATCGAAGTTCAAGTCCAAGTGACTGAGCATATGCTCGGGCGTTAGGTTTGAGACTTAGACTAGTGCAACTGTGAGCGAGACTGACAGCATGGTTGATCTTCACAGACGGTGGTATAGAAGACAGTATGCGACCCTGAGCGACGGTGGCACTATCAGGCAGGGTAATGGCGCCAGGCGAGCTATTGGGAAGCTGCTGGCAACAGGAACATGTATTCAGAGCAGCAATAGCCTGTATCGTTAAATAATGATAATGAAAGTTGTGAGATGTGAGTATTAGGCATTTTCAAGGTGCAAAAATTTATAACAATATAGACAAAGACGAATCCCGAAGACTGTTGTGGAATTGATCTAAGAAAAATAAAGCCTACATTTATTAAACAAACAATTGGTTCAATTAGGAACACCTAAAGTATTTTAATATGAAGTCAAGCAAGTGCATTTTATATAGAAGGTATGAAGACCAAGATGG